CCCTACAGTGACCACTGAGTTCTGATTCCCAGTGTGGGTTTGGTGTGGGACAGGGAGGCTTCAGCAGATCTCCAGACCTTTTGCACATTCGAAGGCTGAACGATGCAGATGAGCAGCTTGTTGGGAAATTTTTGGCAGTACCATTTGATACAAATAGAGTTCACAAACTGTTAGAACTTGTCTAGTTTCTCAATCTTAAATAGTTAAGCAGTAATAACAATTCTGGATTGTTACGGAGAAAATGCTCATTAATTGGCTTGTTTGTGCCATCCCTTGCAGACAAACGAAGCCGGCATCTTGGTGCTGATGGTGTCTATTTAGATGACCTCACTGACATGGATCCAGAAGTTGCTGCACTTTATTTCCCCAAGAAGTATAAATCCTTATGTTTTTACTATATAAAGAGCTCTTGTCACCTTCCAGAATTAGATCAAAGTCTTCACTGCCAGCCAGATAAGATCTGTTTATTCAGAGTCCAAGCAGAGGTGAAGCCAGAAGGAAAATAAAACACAGTAGAGAGGAATATTGGAGCTTTTGGAAGGCTCTGCATTTGGGCCTGAGAAGTGTGCTTGAAACTGATTTTCTATTTTGGGTAATTAAGCATCATGTATGGATTGTGGGGTCGTTATGTAATGCACACTGGTGTTTGTGACTGTTACTCTCATGACCTGGGAGAGCCTTGGGATATATTTATCCCTGTGTCCTTGGTTAACATCTCTTTCTGTTAATAGCATTACCACAAAAGTATTCCTCTAGTGTTGCTCTACTGTGGGTGATCACCTGTAAATATGAATGTTAGAATTTTTGGAAGATGCATGTGAGTTTTTTTAATGAAAAGGCTACACCCTGAACGTGCAATTCCCAGCTTGCTCCAATGTTTCTTCCAGCCTCTTATACCATTTATAGTCCTCTTTGCCCACATTGTGCTCCAATCATTTGACTGAAGTCATTGAGCAACAACTGAAGTAGCTTGCATCATTAAGTTTTATTTCTTATTTGCTTAAACTCAGCTGTTGTAGTATTAGCATTTCTATAAAATTGAGGAAGATCAGCAATATGGAGAAAAAGGTTGGACTGAAAATTCCTTTCTCAAATGTATTCATAAAAATATGGAATGGGAAGCAGAGTTTGATGAGCCTGAACTTTGTAATAATGATCTGTCTCATCTATGCACAGGTTTTTAAGTGGGTATAATGTTTGTGGGTTTTTTCTTAAAACTTTACCCCTAGTACTTTATATATAGAGTATTTTATGTATATATCTGTAAGATATAAATACACAAACACACACATCCTTTATTTTGGCTTTAGCCATCAGTCAGTATGATTAATATAAAATAATAATAATCTAAGATATTTACCCCTGTGAGGAAATAGCTGTCGTAGTGTAAACTCTGCTTATAGTAGCATTATTTTGCCTGCTGAGAGTGCACAGTTTGTTGTCTTATTCTTCTTGTCTCCTGAAAATAAGTGAAGCTCTAATGGCTGAGGCTTGTGCAGCCTGGTCTGGTGGGAGGTGTCCCTGTCCATGCAGGGAGGTTGGAACCTGATGATCCTTAAGGTCCCTTCCAACCCAGTCCATTCTGTGAGTCTGTGATTCATGCCTAGCTTAGGCAAGTCAGCAGAAGGAATCTAACCTTTGGGGGTACAAAGTGAAGCAAAATGCCCTTCCCCTCCCTCATCCCCCCCTTTTCTGTTTTCCCTACGTGTGTGTCAGATGGGAAGGGTGCCTGTTGAAGGGAGTGATTCTGGGGCTGGCGAGGTGAGGGCTGACCTCCTGCTTGCTCTTTTCCAGCGGGGAGAGTGTCCAGAGCAAGCACCCTCCTGAGGCAGGGCCCTGGTCTGCCCACCCGTCCCCGCAGTCCGTGGGGAGCTCAGGTGTGGAAAGTGGAGCTGAGAGCACCTCAGATGGAGCACGGGACTTGCCCTCCATTGCCATCTCTCTCTGTGGAGGCCTCACAGACAGCAAGGAGATCACCCAAGGTACGACGGGCACTGAGCAGCTCAGGATTTTTAACACATCTTAACAATCCAATAGGTTTTTGGAAAGTATTGTTATTTTTACTTCCCGGTAGTGCTGCACTGTGTGCCACCGTGGTGGTGCTGGTACCTCTGCCACGTGGCATAGTGTGGTGCCAGGAAATGCACAGCTCTTGGGGTCTGTCAGGAGTGAGGAAAGTGGTCTGTAAATGGGGACTCTAGGAAGGGGGGAACTTTAACCTGAATTCCTGGTCTGCTCCAGTGTCTTGTGTGACTTGGAGGTGAGAAGTATACAAAGCTCGGTGCCTTAAACTTGGAGCTGCATAATATAAATGTGTTAAGACCTGCACTTCCTGCAGTGTTATGGTGACATAAAATCATGCAAGCCTGATGTGACACTTGATGGCTGTTTAGAAGCTAGTTATGAAAACTTCTCAAATATCCTGTGATTTACTGGAACTGTATTGTTATCTGAATCACTTGTAAGTGACAAGTGAAAGGAGGGACATCCAGTGGAAGGGGTGCTTCTTCATAGACATTTCCACTTCACTGTAGGCCTCACAATTGAACATCAGGTTTCTGGCTGTGGGTTTTACTTGTACATTGAGCCTATCAGTTCTGCTCCTGACTGGACTGAGGATCAGTGAAAGACATGGCAAATTATTTCCTTGCCTCGCTTAGAAGCCTCTTCGCCCTCACAGTTCCATCCCTGAGCTTTCACTTAGCTTGTGTTTTGAACAGGGAAGACAGCCAGCAGCCAACAAAAAAACCCTCAGCATCATCTGAGATAGTCTCTGAATATCTTGCTTCCATATTTCTGCTAATCTCAGCACCCTGTGATGAAGGGCTTACCCTGACTGTGCAACCTGTGTCTGAGAGATGCTGAGGGGTTTAGGTTGGCCCATCCCAGGCATCTATAAATACATGCTTTACATGTGTCATTTTCCCCCCCCACAGAAGAATTCTTGGAACATGCAGTAACGTATCAGCAATTTGTGGACAATCCTGCTATCATTGATGACCCTAACCTCGTGGTTAAGATTGGAAATAAGTAAGTATATTTCAGGACAAAAAAATACTGTTGTAACAAAAACACTTGTGTGGCACTTCAGGGCATTAGATCAGTTTAACCATAGCTGAAAAATAGGTTTTGAATGTTCATAGCTTAGCCTCCTCCAGAAAGAGTCAATTCTCTAGTGAATTCAGGCTCTTCAAGTTACCTTTCTTCATTTAAATTGAAAGTCAGTAACAGTTTCACATGACCTGTTACAGCCAACTGGCACAAGGTGCTGGAACAGGTTGCCCAGAGAAGCTGTTGCTGCCCCGTCCCTGGAGGTGTTCAAGGGCAGGTTGGATGGGGCTTGGAGCAACCTGGGCTGGTGGGAGGTGTCCCTGCCCATGCAGGGGGGTTGGAAATAAATGATCTCTGAGGTCCCTTCCAACCCAGATCAGTCTGTGGTTCTATGAATTTGAGTTTCAGGAAGCTAGTATTAAATGCCAGTAGTGTTCACACTCACTTGGCAGAGTAGAAATCAAGTAGGATGTGAACTTGCTAAGGCTTGCCTGGGGCCAGTTTGAGGGATATGGAACTCTGCTTGTAGGCTCTCTGTACCCAGCAGTTTGTCTGTACATACTGAGTATTTTGCTGATCTGCTTCTGTGGAGGCATTGCTTTTCAAAACTTTCTACTCAAGGACCTATTCTCTTGAAAAGTATCTGTTGTAGCTGCCTGTGATCATGTTTGTAAGAAGGTGGGTTTGCTGTTCCTGGTGCAGGCCAGAGTTCATTCAGCCTGTGCTAAAGAGGCTTTGTGGCTTTAATGATAAATGCTGGGCAAATGGGGAATTGGAACCTGGGGATTACAAAATGCCATAATCCTCTCTCTTGCACGCCCAGGTACTACAACTGGACAACAGCTGGTCCCCTTCTGCTGGCAATGCAGGCATTCCAGAGACCTTTGCCAAAGGTGAGATTGAGCATGAAGGCTGGGCTGAGGAGCTGGGACATTCTGCAGTTTATTAAGGCAGGAAGGGGGTCGTAGTACAAAAGAATCTACGCATCAGCAATATCTGTCCACAAATAACTCATTGGTGCTACCAGTCATCCTACTGGTTCCCTTAAGGTCTTGTTAATGAGAGTTTTGATTTGCTGTAGTAATGGAACTGAGGAACTGAAATACTAAGATACTTTATCAAACAGCCTTTATAAAGTGATTGAAAACTGAAGGTTTTGCAAAAAAAATCCCTAAAAATCAACAGGATGTCTGCCTGAAGTTGTCCATACATTTGAGAACCTCCTGAAACCGCAGCTGTTGATCCCAGCAGTTGTCATCCATGCTCAGTAGCTCCATCTGCTCCCTGTCTTCCTCATTTTTCCTAAAAAGTTCGCAACTTATTTGCTCAACTTGATTCCTCTGTCATTTCTTTCTTTTGTCATATACTTTAGATAGCATAGTAAGAAAATCTGGGGAGAGGGGTGCATTGTCCCATACATGAGCTGAGCTCAACCCTCTCTCTCTTAGCTGCTAAGAGCTCTTGGAATTTTATTTTTCTTTTCATTTTTAATCCCAGATGAACATGACAGTTTTATTTGGGTGATTTCTTACAGGGGAGGGTATCATCTGGCAAAGCCATGGGCTCAGCTCTCCTAGGGTGGACCAAGTATTGTGGCCACCTTTACTGAAGAGTTTTCCCTTTCTGCCTTTTGCTGTCTCCAAGGGCAGGAATTCAGGTCTCTCTGTTGCAGTGCACAAAGCTCCAGTCAGTATGGGTACTGGGAGGAACTTCTCTACTGGGGTCTGGTGTATATGAAGAAATAAAAAGTAGCCAGGGTTTAAAAACAACCAGTTTAACCATGGTCAGTCAAAGTCACAACATCATAGTCAGCTAATTACAAAGCCACCAACTTCTTTGCTTTTCTTCCCTACTAGTGGTTTAATATGAACTTTGTAGTTATTTTAAATGAGAATAATTGCCCTGTGTGTGGGTTTGGTACTGGTTTGCATGAGAGCTCTTTCAAGAAGTAGTGGTTTGGTTTTTTTTCTTTTTTTTCTAAATATAATTTGCACTAAGTAACATCAACTTAAAGCCAGTAGGTTCTCCATTCTAGACATTATACTAACACCTTTTTGTGCTTTTTTTCTTCTTTAATTTTATCTCTTTTTCATTTTCCTTTTAAAAATACCATAAGTATTCATGCTTAAGTTACTTCAGAGCAGCTCTGGATACCATTAGATTTTGCTTTAGTAGAATTTATGGTCCACGGACAGTATGTTTACTTTTATTCTGTTTATTATCAGTTAAAATTGTGTGTTTGGCACTTTATTTCATTTACGTATATCAGGCTGTCCTTTGTTTTGGTGTTTTTTTTATGTTACCATCCATTTATCCCAGGCTACTGTGGAATCTATCATGAGGGACAAGATGCCCAAAAAAGGTGGAAGGTGGTGGTTTTCCTGGCGAGGGAGGAACAGCACTATCAAAGAGGTAAGTTTGAGAAGCAAGCAGAGTTTCCTTCTGGTTGCAGTGGGAAGGCTGGACACCTCCATGTTAATCCTGCAGCCTTCTTCTGGTAGCTGAGGAACAGCCATATTTAGGAGTAGTTCGGGCTGTAAAATTCAGCAAAACCTAAGATGGAAAATTTACTGTATATTCAAGTGTTTTTAAATTTCTTTTCTAAGAATTGAACCTTTGTGGTAACAGTCTTAAGGCTGTGGATGAACACTAAAGAACAGTGAAAAAAGCAAAGCTTTGTATGAAACACTGATCTCCTGTCTAGACATATTTAATCTTTAAAGTTGGCTAATAAAACCCCTTTATGTTAATTTACACTGCTGAAGCATTAGTACTTGAGGGGAGAAAACGACTTCTGCTACATTTTTATGGTTGTGCCTCAGTCGATGAACTTTTGTAGCCTTGCATGAAATAACCATTATACTGATCTGTGGGTGTGAGCTGCAGAGTGGGGGATTTTAGCTTTTACATCTTGTTGAAGCTTTCAGAATATCTGAGTAGAAGTAGGTTACCTATGGAGCTGTGGCAGCTGTGCCTGGGTAAGGGGATAGACACCTTGGTTATGTGCCTCGTAGAATCATTCACTATGGAAACATCTTGTGGGATCAAATGGATAGATTTCTGCTCAAGCTTGGAAAATTTTATTGGATCAAAGTTTTTAATGGGTCTGTGAAAACTGTAGAATTTGATAATTGTATTATTTTTTTCTTCCCCAGCTTTTTCAAATGAAATCTAGCTGTTTGAAGTGCAGGAACTGGGATTGATTCCAGAACTTCAACAGTGCTAGATGCAAAGTGTTGTATTTCTGTATTTCATAGAATCATTAAGGTTGGAAGGGACCTTAAAGATCACCAAGTTCCAGCCCCCATGCCCTGAGCAGGGAACCCCCCCACTAATCAGGTTGCAAAAAACCTCATCCAACCTGGCCTTAAAAACCTCCAGGGATGGGACATCAGCAACCTCCCTGGGCAACCCATTCCAGTTCCTCACCACCCTCAGAGTGAAGAATTTCTTCCTCATACCTAACCTAAATCTTCCTTCATTCTGTTTAAAACCATCACCTCTTGTCCTGTCACTATATTCTCTGATGAAAAGCCCCTCCCCAGCTTTTCTGGAGCCCCTTCAGGCACTGGAAGGTGCTCTGACGTCTCCCCGGAGCCTTCTTTTCTCCAGGCTGAACAGCCCCAACTCAGCCTGTCTCCAGAGCAGAGCTGCTTCAGTCCTTGGTGGCCCTTCTCTGGACCCTCTCCAACAGGTCTATATCTTTCTTGTGCTGAGGGCTCCAGAGCAGGACCCAGCTCTCCAGGAAGGGGTCTCAGCAGAGCAGAGGGGCAGAATCAATCCCTGGGCCCTGCTGGCCATGCTGCTTTTGATGCAGCCCAGGACACAATTGCCCCTCTGGGCTCCAGCCCTCACTGGGAGCTCATGTCCAGCTTCTCATCTCCTCCCACCCCAAGTCCTTCTCCTCAGGGCTGCTCTCCAGCCATTCTCCCCCAGCCAGGATTTGTGCCTGGGGTTGTACAAGGCAGTTTGGTGTTCAAAGATGTTTCTGGCAACATTTTCTCCCAGCCCTGGAGGAGATACAGCTTCTCAGACTTGTGTTTTTTACAGGAAGCAAAGGCAGAGCAAGGAATGAGTGGGACTGGACTGACAGGAGAGTCTTCACAGCTGGGCATGGCAAACAGGTACCCCCAAAACTATCTGTGCCTGAAATGAGCTGGAGTTACCATTTAAAAATAAAAACAAGCTCCCTCTCATATATTTGAACACAGCAATACCCAACCAGTGAAATGTGATTGCTTTGTTGGTCTTACACTGAGCAGGTGCAGATGGGAAGGCTCTGCAGGGCTGGAGACCTTGCTTCTGTGCTCTGGCACTCCTGGGCTTTGTCTGAAGCTCTGGGACAGCTCCAAGGAAAGAAACAATCACTGGAGCAGTTCTCTGAAGCTATAGGTGTCTCTCTAGGGTTTCCAGGGGACCATCATAGATCACCCCATGCTGTGGTCAGGCCCCACTTGCTAACATTTCTGATGTATTTCTGTGTATGGCCTGACAATGTAATTTGTTCCTGCGTATTTTGGAAAGTCCAGAGGCCTAAGATTTTCCAGAGTATTTTTTTACAGGCCATAGTCACGGTTGTCTGTTGCTTCAAGGATTCCAGAAGTCTCTCCCTTCTCATGCTCCAGACTAATCATACTGTATGGCCAGAACATCTCCCTTGGGAGGGTTCCATAAGATGAGTTTAACTTGCTTTGGAGGCCTTGAGAGAGGAGTTAGCCAGGTCCAGCTCTCCTCCTTTCCCCTGGTCTGTTCCCATCTGGGGACTCTCTGCACTTAGAGCTGGAAGTGGCCAGATTCCATTGTGCTTTATTCTGACTAAATGAAGTTCAAGGATCACAAAAAGCCATTAGCTGTCATTGTTTCTGAAGGTCAGCAATTGCAGTCCAGGCAAATGTGTTGGAAGGAAGATCCCTGCTTCAGCAGGAGGCTGATCTCTCAGCTGCTCCTGAGAGTTTCAGAGCCTCAGAGCAAATCAGAAAGGCTGATCTTCTTGTTAAGGATGACAAGTGACATTTAGGTCTGTTTCTGACATCATTGTTTAAAGGTGAGGTTTAAAGTGGTGTTCAGACTTCAAACAGATTAGATTCTCTGTCATCCTTTCTTCAAATTTTAACTGACCTTAGAATCTGTCATTAAGCATGTATTGCTTGCAAGCAGAGTGCAACAAGTGGGATGCTAAGCACAGCTTTTCAGATCTGGTGTTGCAAAGGATAAGATGGGCTTTTAAATGCTGCTGGTCATGGCATGTGGTGCCTTGGTGTGGAGTCGAGACTTCCTGACTTCAAACAACATCCAGATCTGATAAAAAAGAGGCCAAATGCTGACTGTGTTAAAAATGGGATTTGTAGGATCTGAAAAGATATTTTACCGTCTAACTTGGGTGATTTGTTTCCTGTAGAAGTTTTTCTCTGAAGAAAAATATCTTTAACCAATTTCTGAAAAAGTGGTTGTGGCAGAAAAAAAAGAGAAATAATCCAGTTGTGAAAGTAACCAGAGTTGTGTAAAGAAGCTCTGGTTTTATGGCATTTCATCATCTACTGAGTGGGGTAATCCTGCAAGGCCTGGAAAAGAATAATACAATGAGCTAAAGTTGCTCATCGAAAGAGAAGCAGGAGTTACTTTCTGTAATAAAAATTTCCATCATCTGAATATTTTTATTAATTGCTGAATTCTTTTGGGGGAGAAGGGAAGGGAGGGAAGAGAAAGCCAGCATCACAAGCACCTCTGCTTCTGAGAACTGAGGATTTTTTGTCATTAAAGTATCTAATGGACATTAGTTTTTTACTGCTATAAGAGTTTTGAGTCAATATGGTACATTAATTTTCATCTGTTAAATACAAGTAATGAAAACTAGCTCATAGACAAGTGAATGGCCAGAACAATCTACCTGTGAATGATGGGAAACATGCGTGGATGAAAATTTGGTGCTTCATTGATATATTTAAAGCCATGATGGGAATGACCTCCTGTGAGACAGTACTTAGGAGCAGAGAATCAATGACTTATTTGGTGACTCACTGTTAATGCATTTTTAATGGTTACTGAGATGCATTTACTGACATGATAACATCACCTTCTGTGTGTGCAATGTTCCAGAATAAAAGATGAATCTTCTTCAAGTGATGAAGACCCTAGAGCTGCCAAACAGAACCTGGGGTCATTACAAACCAACTCAAGTCACCTTTCATTACTGCCTGGAATCAGCTACAAAAAGACACTGCGACTCACTTCTGACCAGCTCGTGAGTGGCTTTACATCCCTGTCCTGAAATGTCATTTCTAGCCTGCAGTGATCCAGGCTTACAAAGCCTAATTAACTTTTATGTCATGCCTTTAATTCTCTGTCTTGTTATATTTTTAAAAAAATGAAAATATTCTTCCTTCTCTTCAGTATTGAGCATGAATGTTGTACCTTGCAGCAGGTGCTGGGGTTCAGGGCCTGGGAGGCTTGGCATCCCATTTAGAAAAATATCAGAGTTATGTATTTTTCACCTGAATCAGTGTACTGGAACCAGTCCTGTTTTTGTGTTAGGTATATGTGTACCTGTTAACCCAGAGGCCTCTCTTCTCCTTTTTCCCCCCTCCTCTCTTTCCTTTCCCCTAATCCATATGGAGACTGCCACGTTTCACAGAAACACAGTTTTCTGAAAGGGCAGCCTATGAATTTACTATGAGTCTAGACTATTAATTTCTTTGGAGCCAGCTCTCTTCCTCTGTGACAAAGGTGTTTTGACTATTGGTGACAAAACTGTTACAGGTTTGTGTTGTGCACATTCCAATTTGATCTGGAAAGATGGGCTCCTTTAGGGAAATGCTTTTTTGCTGTCATTTTTCTGAAGGAAACCCAGAGGTGGCATCCAGCATGCAGCAACCCTGATGGTTTGTAAGAAAGGTAGCATTTTCCCCAAGAGGCAGATGGGATGTCTTGATGATTTTCCATAGCAGACAGAAAGCAAGGGTTACACAAATGATGTTGGTGCTTTTCAGATCCAGAGACCTGGAAGAAATCAGCTGGAGTTTAAACTACTTTTAGATTGGCTTCTTGAGGAAGCAGTGGGTGAGACTCATCAGTTACCCATCAGTTGTTCTGCATTCTCACCTCCTTTTCACTTTTTAACTCACTGAACAATTGCAGTGATATAAAACTAAGAGAAGGAGACACTTTATAAAATGTTGAACTCCTGTGGGTTTCCAGGTTAGGTCCAGAAATACAGTCGGATCAGAAGTCCTTTGGCCAGCATGTTGCTATGTGACACAGGAGGCAATGGGAAGGGAGGGCAGAGAAGGAGGAGGAAATGTGATGAGGACTGAAGAGTAACGGGACATATGGCATGAGAGATGGGTTATTATAGGAGAGACATGATACCACTGAAAACAAATCCCCACCTAAACACTCTTAATTGGAGCTCATGGAGCTCCTTGTTATTACCCATGTTTCTCTCTGCATGTATCTGTATCTCAGAATGGAAAAACCTCACAGACAGTCCTTGTTACACAGTTTGTCATTGTTTATGTTGACTTGTTTTCGTATCTCTGGCTGGGAAACAGGCTTCTCTTGGTTTTGTTCTGCTCCAGAAATCAATGCCTGGTGTCCAGGAGCCAGGGCAAACTCTGCTGTCATTGCTTAGACAGTGTGACCAAGGCAGTGATCATCCCTGGCTGTGCTTGTGCCCATTTCACATGCTCAGTTTGTCCCTTACCTTGCTGATCATGTCTTGCAGAAAAGCTTAAAGCTGAAGAATGGCCCCAATGATGTGACCTTCAGTGTCACCACACAGTACCAAGGCACCTGCCGCTGTGAAGGCACCATCTACCTGTGGAACTGGGATGAGAAAGTGATTATTTCTGACATTGATGGAACAATCACACGGTGAGTTTGTGAGCAGAGAGAGGCTTTATCTGCAAGGACAAGTTGTCCTTGCAACTACAGGAAAAGTAATTAGGAGGGAATTTTGAGTCGCAATCTCCGTGTGCTGGTGTTTTGGGTGGGGGAGTGTGTGTGTAGGTCTATTTGGCTTTCAAACAATGCAAGAAGCTTTACCTGAATCCCTGTTTTCATCAAGACATATGCCATGTGTGCCCATCATTGGTATTTCATGATGGTATTAAAGAAATGTGTTGGAGGAGCTTACTTCTTCAGCTGCTAGGCAAAGCAGTTGCTGGGGTTTGTAGTGGCCTCGGTTGTTCTTTTAAGTATTGGGTTTTTTGGAGTTCAATGATACTGTTTTTCCTTTATCCAGGTCAGATACTTTAGGTCATATTTTGCCAACTCTTGGCAAAGACTGGACACACCAAGGGATTGCAAAGTTGTACCATAAAGTGAGCCAGTGAGTATTCAGTATATCTGTTCATGTATCTGTGGCTTGATTGTGTTTATTCACTTGCACATAAAATGTAACATTGCTGTAGACTTCTTTTCACCCAGCAGGGTGATGATGTCATCAAAGGCTTGTCACTTCAGTGATGCTTGCACAGGGCAAACATCTGCTTCTATCCAGATCAAAACCTGCTTTCTGATCCCAAAAGCAGAAGTCCCCTACCAAAGAGTAGTGCTTGCTCCTCCAGCCATCCCAAACAGCTGCAGTTAGGCCCAAAACCTCTAGTAATTGGAAGGAGATGTGCAGCTGCAGCAAGGGAAGCTGTTTTGCCAGCTGGAGTTGTAGCAGCATGAATTCATAAGATGCTTTTACATCTTCTCTCCTTGCTGAACAGGCTGTGAGATGCAAAAGGACTGTTCACCCCAGGGTGGTCACTGTAGGTGGAATTCTTGCCAGGCTTCACTCACCTGGAGTCAGGCAGGGGTGAAATCTAAGCCATATGGGATGAAACAGTTTTGAGGGAGTTCTCTCTCTTTCCAGTGAGTAGAAAGGAACTTGTGAAGCAGCTTAGACTTGAGCTGTCTAAACATTAGGCTTCAGTTAGGCAAGGTAAATCTCATCCCTCAAGCAGAGCATGATATCTTATCTTGGGTAGAAACAGACCCTTTTTGGATACTCCTAATATTCTTGCTGTTTTATTTGTTGTATAAATTATGATGATCTGTGAAGCCATTGATGATGATCTTCACAACTAATGATTATACAATTTATTTTGTTATCTCAGTATATAAATATTTTCTTTTAATTCAGTTACTAAATTGCAAATTTAGGAAGGGTCAGTCAAAATATTTTTGAAATTGGTTAATCTTGAGAGCAGGTTGTAAGTAAACGTTGCTTTAAGTGCAGTCTAAAGGCACTGAAAGTCAGGAAGGCATGTGCTGTGGAACTGGCTTTCACCTGGCAACACCAGCATGAGCTGCTGATTTACAGCTCAGTTGTTGATCTGCTCTGGTGCCTGTTGGGCCACAGTGAGAATCACCTTCTGTGCTGCTGTGGGAGGAAGGATCAGCATCCATCATGTTCACTTGCGGCTTGTACACTCTGTACACAGAGAAGGAGGCAGGCATCTTCAGGAGTAGCTCCATATACCTGAGACCTAATGGTGCTTTGAATAAAACATTTTCTTTCCATTAGCTGTTGAAATATTGGGCAACAGTAGATCAGCTGTGCCTTAGGTGAGTTAATGTCATTAGCAGGGAGAATACCCTGCTGTGACCTAGAACAACATCACAGAATCCTGGAATGCCAGGTTGGAAGAGACCTCAAGAACCATCTGGTCCAACCTTTCTAGGTACTACTCTAGTTGATACGAGGTGGCTCAGCACCCTGTCCAGCTGAGACTTCAAATTGCCCAATGTGGGGGAATCCACCACCTCCCTTGGGAGACTTAAGTATATTCCCAAAATCTTGGGGTATTTCCTCTGATGAGTGCAAACAGGAGAAAACCAGTCAGACTGGACCAGCTCCCTTTGGGAGGTGTGTGGAGATGCTTCCAGGTGAGCAGTGCAGGAGTGCAGATGTGCTGTTGTTTCCCTGGGGACATTGTGCTGTGTATTCCAGCCACTTTGTTCCCTGGAGGATCAAAGACTGAGAACATGGTGAGTTTTGTCATTAGCAATTGAGAGAAAAAGGGAAGTGAGGAGAAGAATTAACTGATGTCTGAATAGAATCAGATGAAATATCTGATATATGGTGATGTTACTTTTACAAGGAAGTCACTGGTTTCTCTCTTCCCCTTGATGTTTCTGCTTGACACAGGAAATATGTTTGTTTTCTTTTGTTACATTAAATTCAGCTGTTCTTATATATTCGAATTACCCTAAATATTTGAAGAGCCTCTAGTACACATCACAACTGTCCCCTCAGTACACAGAACAAATCAGAGTAACTAGGGTTGTGCTAAGGTTTGTTTACTGCTTTTTGTTTGAGACAGATGATGAATTATAAATTATGGATGGTGGAATCTGAGTTCTTCCAGAGACACTTGTCTGTGCTGTTAGGCTGTGTAGACATACGTGATCACAGAGAAGGCAGGGCAGCCTGGGAATTCACCTGTTGAACAGTGTTTGGATCTGTGTGAAACCTCTGGATTGCACTTGAGGAAAATGTTAATTAAAGTATTCAATAGCAGCAGTTGTTTCTGTGCCTGCCAGCATTATCAGTTGTTAGGGCTTTGGTGATCGTAAAAGAGAAAAATAGATTTGGATCCTGTTGTTTTCCAGATCAGCTAGTTAATGATGTAGTGGCTAGATATTACAGCTGAACACTCTACAAATAGCCAGTAGTTAGATTTAATGATCAGGCATGCACTGAATACAGTATTTTTTTATGTCCTGAGCCATTTGTTCCTAGGAGGACTTGCAAAGTAAATTGGTATTAAGTTGAATTAATGTGGCTCAATTCTGTTCCATCATGAGCCAGAACCAAGGGTGACCCATAACTTTCGCCAAGACCTTTATTTCAGTGTCAAGTCAAAGATTACTTCTCATGCAGTGTTTTCAAGTTCAGATTTGCTCAGACTTAAAGGAATATGTGGCTGCCAGTCTGATTTTTTGCAGAGGCCCCAGGGGCAGGAGTGCAGCAGCCTTGCACCATTGCCTGCTGTGTGCACAGTGTTCACTTGGCAGGTGTCATTTCGGTGCATTCCAGGGGCAGATACAAACCCATGAGAAGTCATGAGGCATGGGAAGCCCAGAGATGAACCAGCCCAGTTTAGGTGTAAATCACTACCTGCAGTGGGGCTAGATGGAATTTAATGTTCCAAGAGTCTGGCATAAATGGTTTGAT